TTTTTTTATGTAGAATATCACGTCATTCACAAATAGTGACAGTTTGACTTCTTTACCAATCTGAATTATTTGTATTTCTTTGTTTTGTCTAATTGCTATGGCTAGGACCTCCAGTGTTATGTTGAATAACAGTGGGGTGAGTGGGCATCCCTGTCTTGTACCTGATCTTAGAGGAAAAGCTTTCAGCTTCTCGCTGTTAAGTATGATATTGGCTGTAGGTTTGTCATATATGGCCCTTATTATGTTGAGGTACTTGCCCTCTATACCCATTTTGTTGAGAGTTCTTATCATCAATGGATGTTTAATTTTGTCGAATGCTTTTTCAGTGTCTGTGGAGATGACCATGTGGTTTTTGTCCTTTTTTTTGATGTGGTGGATGATGTTGATGGATTTTCAAATGTTGTACCATCCTTGTATCCCTGAGATGAATCCCACATGGTCATGGTGTATGATCCTCTTGATATATTTTTGAGTTTGGTTTGCTAATATTTTGTTGAGTATCTTTGCATCTATGGTCATTAGGGATATTGGTCTGTAATTTTCTTTTTTTGTGGGGTCTTTGCCTGGTTTTGGTATTAGAGTGATGCTGGCTTCACAGAATTAGTTTGGAAGTATTCCCTCCTCTTCTACTTTTTGGAAAACTTTAAGGAGAATGAGTATTATGTGTTGTCTATATATCTGATAAAATTTACCAGTGAATCCATCTGCCAAACTTCTTAAGTAGTTTTTTGATTACCAGTTCAATTTCTTTAGTGGTAATTGGTCTGTTTAGATTTTCTCTTTCTTCCTTGGTCAGTCTTAGAAGGTTGTATTTTTCTAGGAAGTTGTCCATTTCTTCTAGGTTTTCCAGCTTGTTAACATATAGGTTTTCATAATATTCTTTAATAATTCTTTGTATTTCTGTGGGGTCAATCGTGATTTTTTCCTTTCTCATTTCTGATTCTGTTGATGTGTGTTGATTCTCTTTTTCTCTTAATAAGTCTGGCTACAGGCTTATGTATTTTGTTTATTTTTCTCAAAGAACCAGCTCTTGGTTTCATTGATTTTTTTCTGTTGTTTTATTCTTCTCAATTTTATTTATTTCTTCTCTGATCCTTATGATGTCTCTTCTTCTGCTGACTTTGGGCCTCATTTGTTCTTTTTCCAGTGTCATTAATTGTGACTTTAGACTATTCATTTGGGATTGTTCTTACTCCTTCTTTAAATAGGCCTGCATTGCTATATACTTTACTCTTAGAAGTGCCTTTGCTGCATCCCACTGAAGTTGGGGCTTTATGCTCTCATTGTCATTTGTCCCCATATGTTGCTTGATCTCTGTTTTAATTTGGTCATTGATCCATTGATCATTTAGGAGCATGTTGTTAAGCCTCCATGTGTTTGTGAGTCTTTTTGTTTTGTTTGTACAATTTATTTCTAGTTTTATGCATTTCTGGTCTCAGAACTTGTTTGGTAGAATTTCAGTCTTTTTGAGTTACTGCGGCTTTTCTTGTGGACTAGTATGTGCTCTGTTCTGGAAAATGTTCCATGTGCACTTGCGAAGAAAGTGTATCCTGCTGCTTTTGGGTGTAGAGTTCTGTAGATGTCTGTTAAGTCCATCTGTTCTAGTGTGTTGTTCAGTGCCTCTGTGTCCTTACTTATTTTCTGTCTGGTGGATCTGTCCTTTGGAGTGAGTGGTGTGTTGAAGTCTCCTAGAACGCATGCTTTGCATTCTGTTTCCTCCTTTAATTCTGTTAGTATTTGTTTCACATATGTTGGTGCTCCTGTATTGGGTGCATATAAATTTATAATAGTTATTTCCTCTTGTTGGACTGAAATCTTAAAGATTAGTTTTAAATGTATATTCAGAAAAGAATGTAAGAGTATAAAATTGAAAATAAGAGGTCAAAATGAATATGGCATAGAAATAAATGTTTGACTAGATAATTGCAATTTATTGTCTTTTGGATTATTAAGAATATCTTGTTCTTTATTTTACTGTTTTGGTTGTAGTTATGTATGTAAGTTCTTACAATTAAATTTCTCAATTTCTGAAAGCCTGTAATATCAGGCTTTGATTGTAGTCATGTATGTAAGTTCTTACAATTAACTTTCTTAATTTCTGACAGCCTGTAATATCAACCTAAATGTTTACCTTCTTTAGGCAATTTATGAAACTTTAAAAGATCCTACAGTGCCAAGGTTATGTATTATTGTGACAGTAAAGCCTCAAAAAGATAAATAAATTCTCTTCCATACCTTTAATGATTTCTAGAATATGCTTTAAAGAAGTCATCCCTAATAGTAAGGGTAGCTCATGAGCAATAATGTTGAATAATGCCCAATTGCCTGTGCATTAAGTCTTTTTACTATTTTACTTTTTTACTATTTACCAATTTCTTTCTTTATTTTTTTTTGAGAGGGCATCTCTCATATTTATTGATCAAATGGTTGTTAACAACAATAAAATTCTGTATAGGGGACTCAATGCACAATCGTTAATCAACCCCAGGCCTAATTCTCATCAGTCTCCAATCTTCTGAAGCATAACGAACAAGTTCTTACATGGTGAACAAATTCTTACATAGTGAATAAGTTCTTACATGGTGAACAGTACAAGGGCAGTCATCAGAAACTTTCGGTTGTGATCACGCATTATGAACTATAAACAATCAGGTCAAATATGAATATTCGTTTGATTTTTATACTTGATTTATATGTTGATCCCACATTTCTCCCTTTATCATTATTATTATTATTTTTATTTTTAATAAAATGCTAAAGTGGTAGGTAGATGCAAGATAAAGGTAGAAAACATAGTTTAGTGTTGTAAGAGAGCAATTGTAGATGGTCAGGTGTGTGCCTGTAGACTATGTGTTAATCCACGCTAGACAAGGGCATTAAAACATCCACGGATGCAGAAGATTTCTCTCAAAACGGGGGGTGAGGTTCTAAGCCTCACCACTGTTGATCCCCAATTTCTCAACTGATGGCCCCCATCATGATTGTTTTTATTATTTTAAAAATTTATTTGGAAAATTTTCTTAAAAATTAGCATATTTCTCCTCTTTAGCTTTCTCATTTCAGTAAAAGGAAGTACTGAGCAATTTTTTGCTTTCAGAAACAGAGTAAGTTTAAGTAATGAAGACTGGCTTGAGTAAATACTGTGGGCCAGCAATTAGAAACCCCAATACTGGAGCTGTCTGAGAGCTACCCTTTCTATGGCTGCTGTCATGAAAACCACAATGCAAAAATATTATTTTCCAGAATTTGTGAGTGCAGGCTTGTCAATGGGAATTGCTGTCATAAGCTCCCACAGAGGATGGTGCCATAGAAAGAATTCTGGCTTGGCTTAGAGTAAGTAAGCTTCTATTTTCATTTAGGGTTATGCACTTAAATATATGTAACTATCAGAAAATTGATTAATTTGTCCAAGTTTTAGTTTTCCTGCTCAATACTATACAGTATGATAGGCAGGATCAAATTAGTATATTGTCTCTTACTTTGTAATAAATCACCGCAAAACTTAGTGGCTAAAAACAGCCATAGTCACAATAGCTCATGTTTTCTCTGGGTCAGAATTCTGGCGTAGCTTGGCTAGGCATTCCCAGTATCTGTCATAAGGTTGCAAATGCTACGTGGAGCTCCAGTTAGGTGAGATGTTTACTGGAGCTGGAAGATCTACAGATCTCCAAAGTGGCTCACTCGTATGGCTGGTAAGCTGATGCTGGCTGTTAGCAGGAGGTCTCAATGGCTCTCTAGTAGGCTCTCCATAGGGCTGCCTGAGAAGTCATGACAAGATGGCTGACTTCCCTCAGAGCAGATAATCCAAGCATGTAAGGCAGAAGCAGCAGTGGCTTTTACCTAGACTTAGAGGTTACATAATTCAGTTGTGCCATAGTCTATTGGTTACACAGAACAGCCTGTTTCATTGTGGGAGGAGACAGTCTGACAGTCTGACACACAGTAAGCACTCAATATATATTTGTTGAATAAATAGTTTGTGGATTTGTATGAACATTTATGAGAACCAAATTTGGGTACTGGTCAATGAGCACTTATGTTTAAATTTTGTGTGTGTCTCATTTAATGCTCACAACCACTTATGATGTAGTCTATTTTACAGAGTAGAAAACTGATGAGTCAGTTGTACAGCACAAAAGTTTTCAGTTGATTTGGGTTTTGTTTCTGGGCGTGCTTCTTTATAAAGTAACTGGACTAAGACTCTCGCTTGACTAGTCCTTAAGAACTGGGCACTCCAGCAGGGCTAGGCGTCCACAGCAACCCTGGAGACAGGACGCCCTAGGGGAGGAACCAGAGAGCGAGACCAGGCACAACGCCAAGTCTTCAACACTCTACACACCTATTAATTCCAGAACTCAAAACATCGTATGAGAACGCTGAAACGTCCATGGCAGTGGAGGAAATGTCTAAGAAAAAACGGCAACAGGGCGAAGAGCTAGGTACCGCCAGAAGATAAACCAGCTTCCGGCTCCAGGCGACCACGTGACAGGGTGGGGCGCAGCGCAGAAAATCCAACCTCTGCCCAGCCTTGCGCTTTGCCACAGGGCGGGGCTATTTAACAGCAACACGCCTATCCCGGAAGTGGGGGCGGAGCCAAAAGTGTCGCCCCCCCCCCCCCGCCCAATGAACGGAAGTGGCTGTTGGAGGCTTTAAGGTAGCTTTAAATTCCTGCTGTCTTCAGAGCTACCCCCTTTCACCCGGATTCGGGCTTCGCGTGACCAATGGCTGTAGACGTGAAGTCGCGAGCAAAGCGTTATGAAAAACTGGACTTTCTCGGAGAGGGACAGGTGAGGCTCTCTGTCGGGATTCCGAGGGCCCTGAGCCGCCTCACAGCCTCGCCGGCTTCCTCGTGGAAGCCAGAAGACTGGCCTGGCTGCTTGTTCTCTTGCCCGGACGCACCTGCTGCCCCTCAGGACACCTTGAAGGTGACCCTGAGCGGCCCTCTTCTTTCTGAAGAATGGACTGGCGGGGATGTGGACTGCCCCACCGTTTCGGGCCATCGCTAGTCTGCTCCAAGAACCCCTGGGTTCTTTGCTTCCCAAAATCTTTTTTAAAAATGTAAAAAAGGTAACAGAAAAAAGCTCCCACAAACTCACGTTATTTCTGTTTTTCTCTCTAGTTTGCTACGGTTTACAAGGCCAGAGACAAGAACACCAACCAAATTGTTGCCATTAAGAAAGTGAGTTGCAGTCTGTTGTTTTTCCTTGAGCCGATGGGTGGTCGTTTTACTACTCTTGATCGTGCTTTGCTACTGAGCAGTTACTTATGTCATTTTCAAAGAAAATATAATTTATTAGTGTCTTGTGTTTCAAGATGGAACTCGGGTTAACTGAAATTGAAATGAAGAGGAAGCTGTATATTTGTTTTATAAACTCAGATGTTGGCATAGAGCACAAGTACTGCCTCTTTTGGGTCCTTAGAGCTATTTAATATGATCTTTCCAGGTTATTATTTCTGCCTCACCTGCATCTCTGTGTATCATGTCAGTATTTTTGGTGTACAGATTTACCATAAAAGGCTTTCACCAGCATTAGCAACATTGATGGGCATTTTTAAAACTCATTTAAGCTTTTTTACATTCATTCAAGAAACTTTGGCCATATTTAGGTAACTTTCTATATGCCAGGCACTTGCACGTACATTTTTTCATTTAACTCTCAAAACAGCCTTGTGAAATAGGAAATTTTCCACCTGAGGTATCTGAGGCTAAGAGGGATTAGGTGATTTATCAAAATGACCCAGATAGTAAATGCTGAAGCTAGCATATATATCCAGGTGTCCTGCTGCCAGGCTGATTGCTCTTTCTACTGAAATCTACTGACTTGCTCTACTACTGCAATCAATAATCCTCTCAAGGAGAGGCCTGTTGGTGAGGTAACCACCTTTCTATTGTTCCTGTTCCTATTTGAACCTGTTTCTCCTTCAAAATTCCTAACTCCTTAGAAGCAAATCCCTCTCATTCACTTAACACCTGGCTCCCGCTCGTCCTCTGCACAATTATTCCTGCTATTGTTACCCTTTTTACTTTTTCTGACTTCTCACTTCTTCGTTTTCCAGTTGATGTTCTATAATTCAGCACTACAGCTACTCCCTTGTAAAACTTGAACTCCTCTGACCCTTTCTAAAGCAATCTTTTTTATTCTACCCCTGGTTCACTATATTCAAGCCACACGTACCTTTCTGCCTTTGAACATATTAATTTATTTATACTTAGGACTATGGCAAGTGCATTTGTAGACATTTTCCACTTGAGGTATCTTGAGGTACGTATTTCCACTTGAGGTATTAACTTGACCGACTGACATTATCTCTTCAAACTGTTGGCATATTGATTTCTGTACCTTGTCCGATGGTATATGATAGTGTTAGTGGAGCTTTTTGTTTCCTTGCTTTTAACATGAATTAGGATTTAGAATCATACCGCTTGAAGGTGACTTGAGAATGGCATCTTGTTTTCATTTAATTTTTCAGTTAATTTCAAGATACATCTTTGTGGTTTTAAGAGTCAGTTAATAGGCCAAGACTTTTAACATGTCTGGCTCCCCAATTGCTGGTTTTCACTCCTTGGAGCAATCACTCTAAACTCCTATAACTGTTTCCTCTGTATTTATCTCCATTTTTTAAATTAATATGCTTATATCATTATTTTTGAGTGGTTCCCCTCCTCCCCAAGCTTTTTGTACCTCTTAATGCCCTTCACCTATTTTGCCTATCCCCCAACAACCACAAGTTTTGGCAACCACCTCCCCTCTAGCAACCCCCAGTTCATTCACTGTATTTATGAATCTGTTTCAGTTTTTTTCATTTGTTTTGTTTTTTAGATTCCAAATATAAATGAAATCAAAAAGTATTTGTCTTTCTCTGTCTGACTTATTTCACTTGGCATAATACCCTCTAGGTCCATTCATGTTCCAAATGGCAAGATTTCATTCTTTTTAATGGCTAAGTACTCTTCCATCATGTATATATACCACATCTTTATTATCCATTCATCTGTTGATGGACACTTAGGTTGCTTCCATATCTTGGGTATTGTAAATAATACTGCAGTACACATAGGGGTGCATATATCTTTTAAAATAGTGCTTTTGTTTTCTTTGGGTAAGTACCTAGAAGTGGAATTATTGGGTCCCATGGTATTTCTACTTTAAATTTTTTGAGGAACTGCTATACTGTATTCCATAGCAGCTACACCAATTTATATTCCCACCAACAGTGCATGAGGATTCCCTTTACAGCCTCACCAACTCATGTTTTTCTTAGCTTTTTACTACTAGCCATTCTGACTGGTTTGAGGTGATACCTCATTGTGATTTTAATTTGCATTTCCCTGCTGATTAGTCATGCTGAATATCTTTTCATGTGTCTATTGGTCCACTATGCCTTTTTGGTAGAACATCAATTCAGGGCTTCTGCCCATTTTTTTATCAGACTTTTTTTTTTTTTTTGCTGTTGAGGCATATGAGTTCTTTATATAATTTGGATATTAATCCTTTATTGGCTATATCATTCACAAATATATTCTCCCATTCAGTAAGTGGCCTTTCATTTTGTGGATGATTTCCTAAGCTGTTCAAAAGCTTCTTTGATGTAGTTCCACTTCTTTATTTTTGCTTTTGTTCTCTTGCCGTGGAAGACAACCAGGCTAATTGGCAAGGTCACTGTCCAAGAGTATATTGCACATGGTCTTGGTCTTCCATTTAAGTCTTTAAACCATTTTGAGTTTATTTTTGTGTATGGTATAGGACAGTGATCCATTTTCATTCTTTTTCAGGCATCTGTCCAGTTTTACCAACACTATTTATTGAAAAGACTGTTTAATCCCCATTGTATATTCTTGCCTCCTTTGTCATAGATTAAGTGACTACAGAATGTGGGTTTATTTCTGGGCTCTCTGTTCTGCACCATTGCCTGTTTTTGTGCCAGTACCATACTACTTTGATTACTATAGCTTTGTAGTATAGTTTGAAATCAGGGAGCATGATACCTTCAGGTTTGTTATTCATTCTCAATTTGCTTTGGATACTGGGGTCTTTTGTGGTTCCATATAAATTTTAGAATTATTTGTTCTCGTTCTGTTAAAATTGTGATCAGCATTTTGATGGATTTGACATTGAATTTGTAGATTGCTTTGAGTAGTAAGGACATTTTAATTACTTCTTCCAGTTCACTGGCACAGTATATCTTTCCATTTATGTGTGTTATTTTCAATTTCTTTCATCAGTGTCTTACAGTTTTCAGAGTACAGTTCTTTCACCTCCTTGGTTAAATTTATTCCTAGGTATTTTATTCTTTTTGATTCAATTATAAATGAGATTATTTTCTGGTGGAATTCATTATGTATCTGGATATTGATCCTTTGTCAGAAGTAGGCATTGCAGATGGCATCTCCCAGTCTTTTGCTAGGATTTTTGATTATTTATGGTATCTTCTGAGGCACAGATGTTAATTTTTAATCTAGTTGAATTTGGCCATTTTTTTCTTTTTCTTTTTTTTTTATTAAGGTGTTATTGATATACACTCTTATGAAGGTTTCACATGAAAAAACAATGTGGTTATTACATTTACCCATATTATCAAGTCCCCACCCATACCCCATGTCAGTCACTGTCCATCAGTGTATTAAGATGCCACAGATTCACTGTTTGCCTTCTCTGTGCTACACTGTCTTCCCCTTGACCCCCTCATACCCTGTTTACTAAACATAATACTCATCAATCCCCTTTTCCCTCCCCCACCACCCCACCTGTCCCCTTTACTAACTGCTAGTCCCTTCTTGGAGTCTGTGAGTCTTATGTTGTTTTGCTTCTTTAGTTTTACTTCGTTGTTACACTCCACAAATGAGGGAAATCATTTGGCACTTGTCTTCCTCTGCCTGGCTTATTTCACTGAGCATAATATCCTGCAGCTCCATCCATGTTGTTGCCAGTGGTAGGAATTGTTTGTTTCTTATGGCTGAATAGTATTCCATTGTGTATATGTACCATATCTTCTTTAGCCATTCATCTACTGATGGACAATTAGGTTGCTTCCATATCTTGGCTATTGTAAATAGTACTGAGATAAACATAGGGTGCATATGTCTTCTTCAATCTGAGAACTTGTATTCCAAGGAGAGGGATTCCTGCTTCAAATGGTATTTCTATTTTGAGTTTTTTGAGGAACCTCCATATTGCTTTCCACAATGGTTGAACTAGCTTACATTCCCACCAGCAGTGTAGGAGGGTTCCCCTTTCTCCACATCCTCGCCAGCATTTGTTGTTCTTAGTCTTTTCAATGCTGGCCATCCTTACTGGTGTGAGGTGATATCTCAGTGTG